GGAGACGGTGAGTTCTAGTCCCGCCTTAGCCATGAAAGCCGACTGGCTGATTCTGAGCCAATCCCTCTCTCTTTCTCAGCCCAACCCACCTCGCAGGGTTCTTGGGGAGAAAACCAGGTGCAGGAAGGTGTTCAGATATGGTCGCCACTTTGAGTTATCTGTAAAAAGGATAAAGACGAGATACAAACCAACAAACGGGCTGAGTGGAATCTGAACCCCAGACAGGGGGGCCCCCTGGAAGGACATGTTCTCCGTGTCGTGGACCTCTGCCCGTTTTCAAAAGTGGCCACCTTTTCACACACACGCACCCACACAAAGAGTCTTGCCTCCTTCGAGGACGGAGAGACGACGCAAGGCAGCAATCCCTTAAGTGCAACTGCACAAGGGCCCTTTGAGGGAGCCCCCTGGGGGGGGTGGGGGTCCTTGGGCTCATTCCGGGGCTTCTTCCAGGGGGTGCCGGCTGCATCCAAGCTGAAGGAAGCCTTGTCCCGTTTACATTTCGGCGGGGCTCAGCTATACTGCTCCTGTCCCTGGAGGCTCTGTATGGCCACCACTCCCTGGTACCCTTGGATGCATTGCCGTTCCTTGCTCCCATCTTGTGGCAGCAGGTTCCAGAGGCCAAGTACGATGCCTGCACTCGTAGGGCGGAATTAATCCATGTTCTGCATTCACACAATACACTGAATCTTTCCCTTCAAAACTTCAAAACCAGCTAACTTGCACGTTTGCCGTAACCAGGAAGCACCTAGCTCAGGGGTAGGCAACCTCGGCTCTTTTATGACTCGTGGACTTCAACTCCCAGAATTCCTGAGCCAGCATGGCTCAGCTTGGAAACCTCTCCCTTTCCCCTCAGCATGGCTGGCTCAGGAATTCTGGGAGATAAAGTCCACGAGTCATAAAAGAGCCAAGGTGGCCTACCCCTAACCTAGCTGGACAGGTAGGGCGAAGGTGGGCCTTCCACCCTTCTCTCTGCAGTGGGAGAAAAGCAGAAAAACAGAACGACAGAGTTGGAAGGGACCTTGGAGGTCATCTAGTCCAACCCCCTGCTCAGACAGGAGACCCTAAACCCCTTCAGACAAACTGTTGTTCAATCTCTTCTGAAAAACTTCCGGTGTTGGAGCACTGGAGAAGAGGCTGTACAGCCCACCGCTGGATAACGGGTCAGGCAAGAGGCTTGTAGGAAATCGTCCCTCGTCTCTCAGGCTGTAAAGGTGGGAGATTTGTACTTTCAGACTTGCAATATTTCGTATATATAACTTTTCAATAAAGTAGAATTAGCTGATCTGGTCGTACGTCCTGCCTGGTCTACCTGGTAAGGCTGACGCTCTCTAACCCAGGGCCCTTTGATGACTTGTGGACTTCAACTCCCAGAATTCCTCAGCCAGGCACGCGTCCCCAAGTGGCAGAGCCCAAGAGGAGGACGGGGGGGGTCTTCCAGTGGCTGCGGCACAACCAGCCCCTTTTCCCAAGGACCCCTCCCTGCTCCCCCACCCACACAAGTGTACTATTATTATTATTATTATTATTATTATTATTATTATTATTATTATTATTATTATTATTATTATTATTATTATTATTATTATTTCAACCTTCCCTGGAACCTCCAGTAGCTCAGGTTGGGGGACGAGTCCGTCCTTTGGGATCTGGGTGACGAAATTTTTTTTTTATTTTTCACGGCCTTGAGTGTGTGCAGTATGTTGGTGCCTTGCCTACCCTATCAGGTTCCATCCAAAAAAGGTGCCGGAACTCCGTTCTGGGCATTCTATGACAAAAAAAGCCCTGCCTATACCATTTCGGACAAATGGCTGTCCAGTCTCTTCTTAAAAACTTCCAGTGTTGGAGCATTCACAACTTCTGGAGGCAGGTAGTTCCACTGGTTAATTGTTCTCGCTGTCAGGAAGTTTCTCCTTAGTTCCAGGTTGCTTCTCTCCTTGATGAGTTTCCCTCCGTTGCTTCTCGTCCTGCCTTCAAGGGCTTTGGAGAATAGCTTGACTCCCTCTTCTTTGGGGCAGCCCCTGAGATATTGGAACACTGCTTTTGCCAGAAATGGAGTGGACAGGACAGGACAGGACAGGACAGGACAGGAAGTGCTGGACATCCTGATTGGGCCAAAAAAAAGGGACTTCTCTTGCCAATTTCTACCCCCCCTCAACCCAGAGGGAACTCCAGGCAAAAGCCAGAAAGACATTATGAACTAAGTTAAACTAAAAGTAGAATTAAGGTAGGTAAAGGCTGGTCCAGCAGGGTTTCTCCCCCCACTCCCCAAATTGAGCCGCTGACAGGGATAAAGCAGGACGGAGAAGGAGGTGACACGTTCAGACGTTCCTAGCAAGACACGGGTTTGGAAAACTCAGTTTGGGGCCATCTCTTCTCCCTCTCTTCTGCCAAGGGGGCAGGGGGGCATTTAGACAGCCCCAGAACTGTCACAGAGACTCTGTTCCTCCGTCTCCCTCAAGGTCAAGGGAGACCCTCGGCTGCGTTCACACAACAGGCAAAAGCCTGGCCGGCTTTGGTGAGCTGTGACTGCAGCTGTGCCTCGGGCGTGTTCTCAAACTAACCATTCGGCCTCAATAATAATAATGATAATAAAGTTGGGAGGGACCTTGGAGGTCATCCGGTCCAGCCCCCTGCTCAGGCAGGAAACCCTATAGTACCATTTCAGACAAATGGCTGCCCAGTCTCTTCTTAAAAACTTCCAGTGTTGGAGAAGGGAGGGAGGGAGGGAGGGGGGGAGGGAAGAAGGAAGGAAGGAAGGAAGGAGAGTAAGATTCAGAAGGGACCTTGGAGGTCATCTAGTCCAACCCCCTGCTCAGGCAGGAGACCCTATACCATTTCAGACAAATGGCTGTCCGGTCTCTTCTTAAAAACCTCCAGTGTTGGAGCATTCACCGCTTCTGGAGGCAAGGAGTTCCACTGGTTAATTGTTCTGACTGTCAGGAAGTTTCTCCTTAGTTCCAGGTTGCTTCTCTCCTTGATGAGTTTCCATCCGTTGTTTCTTGTCCTGCCTTGGAGAATAGCTTGACTCCCTCTTCTTTGGGGCAGCCCCTGAGATACTGGAATCTCCTTGAGAGATTCCCCCACAGGCTGGCTGCATTCACACAACACCCCCCACCTGGGGGGAGTGAAACCCCACGGCCCTCACCTGGGCATCTTTCTTGGGGGTCCCCTCTGGGGGGGCGTTTCCCACAGGAAGGGCTTTGCCACCCCTTTTCAGAGGAAGGGCAAAGGGGCAAGGCCGCTGGAGTGACCAGAGGTGTGTGTGTGTGGGGGAGGACAGAGGACTCCCTGGCCCCCCCAAGGGCCCCGAGGGCCCACTCGGGCAGCCGGACAGCCCAGGGCCCCAGGCCAGCGGGTTCCTTCTCTCCTCTTCCTCCTCCAAGTGTCCATGGGGAGGGAACGGGCCATCCTCGGACGCTTTCTGGCACCGGTCAGTGGCCAGCCGCCAAGCCGCTGACCTTCTCCCCTTCCACGCCTTAACCTGTGGCTGGCGGAGGGCCAGGCGAAGACGTGCCTCGCCTTGCATCGGCCTTCGCGGAGCCCTGGCGCGACCCGCAAAGAAAACCCCCTTGGACTTCCGCCTGTCCGGCCGAGGGAAACGGCCCATCTCTCCCCGGGGCCGGTCCAGTGACATTTTTCTCTTCAGGGAAGCAAGGGTGCCTGGTGCGAGAGAGGGGGGGGGTGTGTAGAAGGCCATCTGGGTTACACAGAGCAAAGAGAGCAGCGGATGAAACATTAACCGCCCTCCCTCGTGCGCGTGGTGTCGCAGCTTGGGAAGTGCTGGCTGGGGTCTGCAGAGGAAGAGCCTAGGGGTCTCTTGCAAACTCGGGCGGGCCGCTTTGCACCAGGTGAGACCCCGGACGGGGCGGCGGTCTCCCCCATCACTGCTCAGTCCTAGGAGAGGAGGAGGAGGAGGAGGAGGAGGACTCCAAGGCTGCCAGGGGGCTGCCGGGACCCCGGAGGAAGGCCAGAGCAAGGAGCAAAGTTCTGAAGAAGCTCGTCCGGTCAAGCAGAGGCCCGGCTGGGAGAGGAAGCCTCTGAAACTCACCTGGCCCTGTGGGATTGTGGCCCCTGCTGGACCCCGGCTGCAGGGGACGCCAGCAGATTGCGGAGCGCCTCGGAGAGGAAGGGGACCTATCCGTGCCTCCGTCGCCAGAGAGGAACCAGCCCTGCCAGCCACCCCCGACGGCCGTCGATGGAGAGCCGTGGAGCGAGAGGGGTCCGGTAGTTGCTGGGACCATGAAGTTTTGGCTATGGGGATCCCTGGTGAGTGGTGTCGTTCCAGAGGTTGCCAAGAGGGAGGGCAGGCCCGCCGTGCCAGCCGTGGCGATCGATGGTGCTGGGCACTTGCCAAAAAGGCTGGCCGTCGGGGGAAGATCTGGGGCTGCCCTTCCCACCCGTCAAAGTCCACGGGTCTTGGGGAGGGGGATGCCCATCATCCCCTGCCGGGAGGAGGCCTGGGATGGGGACGCAGCGTTTCAACGGTGGGGCAGTCGTATTTCGCCTGTTGGGTAAAGATGGCCAAGCATCACCCAGGAGCAGCAGAAGACCGGGCATTTAAATCAGGGGTGTGTCTGTCTGTCCGTGTGAAGCTGCTGGAGTGTGTGTGTGTGTGTGTGGGTCCCTCAACCATCGGGGGGCCAGAAATGTCTAGCCCTCTTGGGGGGCATCAGATTAGGGAAGTGTAAACTGGCTGGGGTATAATGCCCCCCCCGTTGCAAACAGAAGGAAGGGGCAAGACCACCGGTCCAAGCGGGTCTGTGTTTTGGGGGGGGGATTCATGCATTTCAGAGAGGGGTGGGTGGGTTCACAGCAGTGGCTCTCCCGGCAGGTCGAAAAACGAGGCCTGTCTATATGCCCTCTGGGAGCCCAGTAGCTCAAACGATGCCCGGGTGGCCCCAGGCTGAGGATGTGGGAAAAATCTTGCGCATATTCCCAAGTTTGACCGCAACGGACTTTGGCCACCCTGGAGAGAAACCAAATTAGTTAAGCGTGAAGGAATGGCCAAGCCCGATAAGGAATCTGTCAACACGGCAGGCCGAGAGGTGAGGGCTGAAGTGGGCATGTGGGGCAGGGGAGGTGAGAAACGCACCAGCGAGGTGGAAAAAAAAGGGGGCAGGAAAGACCCCCGCCTGCCGGCTCGGGATGGGAAGAAGGTCTGGGAGCCGGCTGGCTGTTTCTGAGCCAGGGACACCCCCCCCTCAGTCGATTCTTAAGTCCAGCAGGGTGGTGGAGAGCTGGCCGAGGGAGAAGGCCAGTCAGGGTCCTTCACATGGGGGGCAGAGACAGAGGGGTCCCAGGCGCCAAAAGACGGAGAAGAGTTGGCAATCGGGAGCAGCCAAGTCACCTGTCGTGCCCCCCATCAAATTGGGTGCCCCCCTGGCAAGGTCTGCCAGCTAGAAGACCTCCAAGGTCCTTCCCAACTCCGTTGTTCTGTTAGTCTGTTGGTCTCTCCTGTTAGTCTGTTTCCCTTTTGTTATTCTGTTATTCTGTTGTTCTGTTTTGTTATCCTGTTGTTCTGATATTCTGTTTCCCATTTGTTACTCTCTTGTTCTGTTCTGTTACTCTGTTGTTCCGTTATTCCGTTGTTCTGTTGTTCTATTCTGTTATTCTGTTATTCTGTTCTTATTCTGATCTGTTATTCTGTTGTTCCGTTACTCCATTATTCCGTTATGCTGTTGTTCTGTTGGTCTATTCTGTTATTCGGTTTCCTTTTGTTATTCTGTTATTCTGTTGTTCTGTTATTGTTATTCTGTTTTGTTATTCTGTTGTTCTGTTATTCTATTATTCTGTTGTTCTATTCTGTTATTCTGTTTCCCTTTTGTTATTCTGTTCTGTTATTCTGTTGTTCCGTTATTCCGTTATTCCGTTGTTCTATTCTGCTATTCTGTTTCCCTTTTGTTATTCTGTTATTCTGCTGTTCTATTTTGTTACTTTCTTAGTCTTTTGTTATTCTGTTGACCTGTTATTCTGTTATTCTCATGTTCTGTTATTCTATTCTGTTATTCTGTTTTGTTATTCTGTTGTTCCGTTATTCCATTATTGTACTGTTCTATTCTGGTATTCTGTTCTGTTGTTCCGTTATTCCGTTCTTCCGTTGTTCTATTCTGTTACTTTCTTAGTCTTTTGTTCTTCTGTTTGGTATTCTGTTGTGCTTGACCGCAGCCCTTCGTCCTTTCTCCCCGCTTGTGCAGGGCTGATTCCATTTCTGTTGGTGTGGGCATCCTTGGACCCGGCCCTGCCCGCCCCTGCCCAGCCCATCTGCGACCAGAGTGTCATGAACAAATTCATCCAAGACGCCAGCAAGATGGAGAAGGACATTGTGAGTCCGGGCGCTGCTGCTCCGGGTGGCCTGGCCCGGCCAGACTCAAAGTAGCCCACCTCTCCCGTTTCTCAGAGGGGCAAACTTGACCTAACCCTTAAAGCAAGGAAGGGCAGATCCTGGGCAGGGCAGTTTTCGTGCCAGCCCCAGCTGGTATCTGCCGGACCGTGCAGAAGATGCCCGTGAGCGGGCTCTTCCTGATCCCGAACTCGAGGGAGATCTCTCCAAACCTTTCAGAGATTGCAAGCAATCAAATCAGAGACTCCTGGGGCAGGATGGGACCTCGGAGGTCATCTAGTCCAACCCCCTGCCCTCTTTCCCCCACAGGTGGACCTTTGTGAAGATGCCTGCAACTTACCAGAACACGTGACGGTGTTGGACACCAGGGTGAATTTTCCTGACTGGCCAGCGATGGACGTAAGTTGGCTCTGGGCGAGGCCACGCGGGAGCCCCACGGCTACGAAAGGACCCCTCTGCTGACCGCCTTCTCCTCTTCTTCCTCCTCCTCCTCCTCCTCCCCCCCTTTCTGCCAGAGGTCCAGGCAGGCCTCGGAGGTGTGGCGGGGCCAGGCGCTTCTCTCCGTCGCCGTGGGCCACGTCAAAAGCCAGCAGCCCCGGATGCAGCCTTTCCTGCGCCAGCTGGAGGTGATGGAGAGCGGCTTGAGAAGCATCCGTGAGATTCTGCGCAGGCACAACGCCCAGGTGAGGACCTGCCGAGACGGGAGGGCCCTTTGCACAGGCTCAGAGGTAATGGTTGCCTTGGCAACTTTGCCCATGTGCAGAGGAACGGAGGGGCTGGTGCCGGCGAAGACTTTGCTTCAGTTTTTCTCCACCTTGTCCCCTTTAAGAGAGGCGGACTGCAACTCCCAGAATGCCCCACCAACGTCCATACATCTCCCCCGTTGATGCTGCTGGGGCATTCTGGGAGTTGAAGTAACCCCTGTGACTCCAGATCCACTTAACAGCCGTGCCACCGACGTAACAACCGCAGGGATTCACTGTGGCGAGAAAAACGGCGCAGAGCTCACTTAATGATCGTCTTGCTTGGCGACGGAACTGTCGGTCGTACGTCAAGGACTACAGTCCCCAACGCCGCGATCCTTTCTTGTTTGACCTCCCTCCCTTCCTCTCCGGCAGGCAGACCCCCAGGAGGAGCCCCTCCTTCGGACATTGAGCGTGCAAACGGTGCAAAAACTCTTCAGCGTATATTCCAGTTTCCTGCGTGGGAAGGTCAACTTGTTCCTGGCCAGTGCCTGCCAGGCGAGTGGCAGGTGACCGCGGGGAGGGGGCTGCTCGCCACTCGGCGTGCCTCCCCTACGATGGGGAGGGGGAGGCCCCTCGGAGGCCAGACGACCACCGCCCGCTTGCTTGATTGGCTGCTTGAGAGACTCCGGCGCGCACACACACCCCTGCCACGCAACAACTCCGGCTGGGCAGATGGCAGCGCCCACCCTCCGGCTGGGAGGGGCAGCCCAGCAGTCACCCCGAAAGCCGCTTCTGCCCGCTTCTAGGCGCCACCTGACTCGGGGTCACCAGGCACGGGCACCGAGGGGAGGTCCGGCCCAAGGAAGCAGGAACGGGGGCCCCCTCCCCAAAAGCCCGCCTTTGCCACCAGCATCCGTGCGAAGAAGGAAGAAACCAAGGCTTGAACAATTGGGGGGCATCAGCGGATGGCCTCCGGAGGTGCTTGTGTGACCCCCAAAATCTGCACACACACACACACACCGCTTTCAGTGGCTGGAGCAGTGAGGGTGCAAGCCGCTTTGGGGGACAGTCCCAATTTCTTAAAATGGGAAAAAAATGCCTTGGTTTACAGAGGGGGGGTCTACCCAAGTTGGGGAGACCCGGTTGTGCAAATAGGGGGGACGGGGTGCCAAGGAGGTCTTTTGCCTGGAGAAGGGGGGGTCACTTGTTCAAGCCGAACCCCTGGCACATTTTCACACGTGGGGGCAGCCTTGACCCGAACCTGACCCCCCCCCAGTACCCATGTGCGCTGTGGAGATAAGGGCTGAATGGATCAGCTGGGGAGACGTCACAGGATAGCCGTGCCTGGCAGGTGTCAATCAAATCCTGGCTGACTTGGGAAATCCAGCATTGAAGCATTTTAAGCTTAAAAAAATCCTCTTTTTCAAAGGTTGAAGCTTTACAGGCGGTCCTTGACTTACCACTGTTCGTTTAGTGACCATTTCAACGTACAACGGCACTGAGTTACGACTGTTTTTCACACGACCGTCGCGGCACCCCCCTGGTCACGTGATCAAAGTTCAGATGCTTCGCACAATGTCTCGTATTTATGACGGTGTCCCGGGGTCACGTGATCCCCTTTTGCAACCCCCCAACAAGCAAAGGGGGAAGCTAGGTTCACTTAACGACGGGGTTACTAACCCAACAGTTGCAGTGATTCAGGTTAACAACGGTGGCGAGCAAGGTCGTAAAATGAGTCAAAACTCACTTAACGACGGTCTCGCTTAGCGACAGAAATTTTGGGGTCGCTATATTGTCAGAATGAGACGAAGGCCTTTTCCAGAAGTTGTGACCCCCCCCTCTTCTTCCTGCCCACAAAATGTGGAAAAGGTGGGGGGCTCTTTAGGGTGTCAGAAGGGGTGATTGACAGCTCCCAGGCAGCCCCTCCAACGGCCGACTCTGGTCTGGTTTCAAGCAGCCCTCAGCTCACCCCCATTTGCTTAGTGACCACTCAAAGTTACGACCGCCCTGAAAAAAGGGACTTGCGTCTGGCTCACCCCCTTAACGACCGTCCCTGCAGTCCTGTGATCAGAATTCGAACGCTTGACCGCCGGCACGCACTTACGACGGCTCTACACTGGCCCGGGGTGTGTGTGTGTGTCACCTGACCCCCTTTTGCGACCTTCCAGGGGAAGTCAGATCCGCTTAACGACCGTGCAGCGATTCGCTTAGTAACCGTGACGAAAAGGTTGTAAAATTGGAGGTGGGCTCCTTTACCAACCGCCTCAGTCAGTCGTGGTCGTAAACCGAGGACTGCCTGCGACCGGCTTCTGCCCAGCCAGATTTAATTTAAAGGACCTCCGGCGTCTGTATACATATGTATAGTTTTGCGCTAAGCGACTTCTTGAGAGTTTATATTTGATATTAAGTTAAAGGTGTACAGTTTTCTGAGTATTTATCGTGTTTCCTTCGAGAGCAGCTGGTTTGTGAGTTGATTCCTGGAAGAACTGAGGCGGATTCCCGAGGGATGGGAGAGGGCTGGGACGGCTCTTGTTTATCCTGATTAAAAGTTGCTCTGCTTTCCCGAACAAGCCATCATTTGTTTGCCAAGGTTTGATTTTCTCACGAAAGAAGCTGCAGGGGGGAAAAAAATGGGGAGACGGAAGAAGCACTCTGCGCATGCCCAGAGACACGGCTGCCTCTTCGCCTAACTCAAGCTTGGTGACTTTAAGATGGGTGGACTAGAAGACCTTAATAATAATAATGATAAAGTTGGAAGGGACCTTGGAGGTCATCTAGTCCAACCCCCTGCTCAGGCAGGAAACCCTATGATTCTGTGAAATGAGTTCAAGGGCCAGAATTCCCCAGCCAACCTGCTGGCTGGGGAATTCTGGGAGTTGAAATCCACCGATGCTGGCTGCGGAATTCTGGGAGTTGAAGTCCACCCATCTTAAAGTTGCCAAGGCGTCGGAAACCAGCCGGAGCCTACAAAACAGGCACTTCACACTTTTGCAGTGTTTTTTCTGACAGCTCACCGCCTAGTGTTGCCCCTCCAGCGGCCTGGAAGGTCCCTCCCTGTCTCTGGCCATGAAGCAGCCGGAAAAGGCCGCTGCCTCCGCCACGCCCGTCACGTGCCCGCTCTGCTGCCAAGCCAAACAGAAGCAGCCCCTGCAAGCCGGGATCGGCGGGCAGGATGCCAGCCGGGAGGGAGGGACCGGTGGGGTCTGCAGCTGCACACCGGGCAGGGCACCGAATCACCCCGGCCTGCCTGCCCCACGGAGCCTTCCCCAGTCCCCTCCCTCTGCTGAAGCAGCTGTTCAGCCTGCACCCCAACCCGGTCCTGGAGGCCTGTTGAGTGCTCTACCTGTGGGACTTCCGCCTCACTACAGCAGCCAGAATGCCCCCAGACAGCCTCCTTGCTAGAGACGGACTGAGCTGGTCTTCGGAGGATCAGTTGCCCGGTCAAGAAACTGGGCACCTCTTCCCCTTTTATGGTGGGGAAGGGGCAAGGGAGGGGGCAAAAGGCCACCTGTGGGGCAGCTGAGCTGAACCCGCCAGAAGCCGGCCTGGGTGAAGAGCTGGAGGCCCAAATCAACCAGCCCTTCTTGCCTGGGACCTCCGCCAGGTGTGTGGACTTCAACTCCCAGAATTCCTCTCTGCTCAGCTGGCAGCGCACAAGGCCTGCCAAAGCAGCAAAGCCTCTAGGGCAGCCGGGGGTCTCCCATCCACAGACCCCCCTCCCCAACCACGGTTGAATGGGCCGGGCACCCCGATCTCCCCAAAGCAGCAAACGCATCAGGATGCTCAGGATTGCCAGGGACCCCAGCACATCTGGGGGGTGCCAGCAAGAGAAGCTGGCAAAAGGGGCGTGTGCCTATTGGGAGGGGGGGTGTCTGGGCGCCGCTCTGCCCTCCCCTTAGGGTCGAAGGTGTGTGTGCCAGACAACCCCCCCCTCCACATTTTACACAGCTCTAGGCTTGGCAATGGGGACTTGATTAAGGACCCTCACCGCCAGCAAAAGGCAGGGTTTGACACCCCCTCCCACGCACATCTGGAGAGTCAGCACCTCTCTGGGAGGGGGCAAGGGCGGACGGCCACCCCGGAGGGAGGAGCAGCTGCCGGGGGGGGGAGGCGAAGGGCCGTCCACCCAACTCCGCTGGTTCAATCCAGGGCCGGCTGGACAGGGGCCTCCCGAGAGCCAGGGGTGAGTTGGGGGTCTCTTTGGAGGGAGAGGGGGCATCAGCTGGCCCTGGGTCCCCGGGTCCCCCAAGATGGGGGGTCTCAGGAGGAAAAAATGGGGCTGCGATCGGCACCACCCAAAAGCCAATTTGGGGTGGTGGTGGTGGCGTGTGACTATCTCCCCTCCAGATCTTTGTCCCCTCCTTGGGCTGAATTTTGTGCAACATGGAGACACTCACAACTCGGTGTGTGTGTGTGTGTGTGTGTGTGTGCGCATGTAAGAAGAATCTCCTTCCCCCCACCCCCACCCCTTCCTTCTCTTCCTTGGGGAATCCCCGGCAGTTGGGGGGCACCATTTCCCTCCCCCTCAAGACCCTCTAATGGGACCCAGGCCCTGTTCCCACAACCCTTTTAATCCGGGGAGCCCGGGGGTTGGGTTGGGGGTCAATCTGGGGAGGGGTTTCTGTGCCTGGTGGGAGAGCCAACCCCAACGGGGGGGAGCCGTTCGAGGGTTTCAGGGTCGTGCGAACACAGCCGGCAGGCGGAAACCCGCAACGCATCACTTATTCGCTTCGCTTTGGCTTTAGAGCCGAATTCGAATTCAGGGAATCAAACAGCTGCCCCCCTCCCTCCAATTTCTCCTGCCGGCGGCCCCCTCCAGGGCATTCCTGGGTCTGTGCAAGAGTGGGGGATCCAGTTCCCCCCCCAGGAAGAGGCTTGCGGGGGGGGGCTGGGTTCTCCGGAAGAGCAGAAAAATGGGGCCGTCTGAGTGACCCCTGGGTTCCCCCCCCTCCCCATCCAGCTAAACCAGCTTTAGCAATCTGGTGTCGCAAGACAAAGTAAACAATGTTTGTGCGCGTGGCACCACCGAGCTTGAAGCTGGATCGGGGGTGGGAAAAGCACTCTTTGCCCCCCTCCCCACTCCATTGGCCGAACAAACGGTCAGCCAGGCAGATGTTCACCGGGTGCAGCTCTCTCCTTCCCACCCAAGAGACGGATTTCAACACAAAAAACCCCTTTTGCCACACAAACCCGGTCGAGGGTGTGTAACTTCTCTTCCTGGGGAGGAAGAAGACCCCCCCACCCCAGCCCCATGGAGGGCAGGGGGCTGAAAGCCAGCTAGTCCACCCCAGTTAACCGTTAGTTGAGCAAGCCGGTGTGACCTTTTAGCAGGAAACAGCCCAGGTTGGTGGTCTGCCCGCTTGGATGCCAAGGGAGCTAATTCTGGCCCTGGTGGACGGGGCGCCACCAGGAGATCACAAAGCTCGGGGCTGGACTGGGAGGTGGGGAAAACCTTGGCAAGAAGGTGGGGGGGGGGCAAGAAAGAAGGTCTGTGGAGGTTTGAAGAAGGCTTTAGACTAGGGGTGTCCAGCCTTGGCCCCTTTAAGACTTGTGGACTTCAACTCCCAGAATTCCCCAGCCAGCTTTGCTGGCTGGGGAATTCTGGGAGTTGAAGTCCACAAGTCTTAAAGGGGCCAAGGCTGGACACCCCTCCATTAGAAACCAGCTAAGAGAGATTTTTGGGAAATAACCCCCCCCACACACACATGCCCGCCTCCTACACAGGGCCCAACCGCATGACCGGGAGGACACCCGCCTGCACGAGCCGATTAACCCCCCCCCAGTGCCCGGTGCTGATAAGGGGGCTGCCCCAGGCACGTCTCCCGCAGGGCCCAGGGGAGGCAGGGTGTGCCCTGATAACCGCCCGACGCCGGTGGAGCCCTCAAGAATTTCGGCCTGCCTCTCTCCACAGGGCTGCTGGGGACCCGTCGGGGGACGATGGACTTTTGGACAGCCCGCCTGCAGCGAGTGGTAAGGCTTAAAAGACCCCCTCCCCCAGCCAGCTCCCTTTTATTCCTGCAACAACACCCCTGCAAGGTAGACAGGGCTGCCCTTCCCCATTCCAGATCCGGCAGAAAGCCAGGCAGAGGTCCTACACCATCTACCGCAACACGGCCGAGGACGATGGGGACCGTGACCCCGGGGGGCTTCAGATCAAGATGGAGGAAGCCGAGGGTCCCGACGGCCCAGCGTCCGGCAGGCAGAAGGAGGGGTCCCCCCCTCCCGGGCCAAAACGGTGGAAGATGGGGGTGTACCTGGCTTTGGTGGGCCTTCTCCTGCTGATAGTAGGTGAGAAAGGGGGTCCAGTGCCCCCCCTCACCAGCCTGCTTGTCCCCCCCCGGCTCGGAGAGATTTGCCCCCTTCCTCAAAGTCATGCCCCCATCACTTCCAGCAGGATTAGACCAATGAGATGGTCTTGAGTCCTCCATATTGGGTGGGGGTCCTAAAGGGCCCCTCTGTTTTTCCTGGGGACCGACATCTTGGGGGGGGTCTTCTCCAAGCCCCAGTGGAGATGACAACTGGCACAGTTGGCATCAGACCCCCCTCCCCCAGACTTAAATCTGGAGCCCCTTTGCCCCCCACCCCTTAACGTCCTCTGGCCCCTGCAGGGTTCCTCCTGGGGTACGTCTCTTCCCGGAGGGGGGGCTCCTGCGCGGCCTGTGCGGACTTCCTGCCCATGGTCAACGAGGACGGCCCCTACCGCCCGGCCCAGGACCCCCGGGGGCCGCCCCCCCTGTACTGGAGCGACCTGAGGGAGATGTTCCAGAAGTATCTCAACGAGGAGAAGATCGAGGGGACCATCCGGTGAGGACCCCCCTCCAAGGGAGGGGCCCCGAGGGACGAGGACGGGCTGGGGGGGCGGCAGTGGGGTCCATCAGGCATCTGAAGGGGGGCACCCTGGGGGAGACTTTCTCTCCCTTTCAGTCAGCAAGTGAGGGGGGGGGCTCTTAGCATTCATCACTTTTAAGCCCCCCCCCCCAAATTTGTCCCATCTCTGCAACAGGAAGTCCCTGCTGGAAAAGTGGGGTGTGTGTGTGTGTGTGTGTGTGTGTTTGGGGTGGGGTGTCCCGTGCAAAGCTCTCACGGGCAAAGGAGAGGACCCCTCCCAGGTGAGGGAGGACCCCTCAGAAGGGTTGTTTTTCTTCTACTCATCATATGGATGTATTTTTTTTTTTTAGTTGCTTTTTTTTCTTTTTCCTTGTTTGTGTTATTATTCTGTTATTTTACTTTCGCTTTGTTTAAACTTCCTTTTTACGGTTGTGGGTCCTCTAGAGTAGCCCCATGGCGAGGTAGGCGACATACAAATTTAATTATATATATTTATATTTATACATTTATATCTACATTTATATATCTACATTTATATATATAAATTACATTTATATGTGTGTGTGTGTGTATGTATAATGTATAAATATATGTATAAATACATAAATATTTATTATTATTATTAATAATAATAATAATAATAATAATAATATCTAGGATGCTAGAAGCAACCCGTGTTAACCATCAGCGCCAGTCAATTTGAATGTTCTGTTGACTGAGGTTCACCTCTAATGAATAATAATAAATAATAATAATAATAATAATAATAATAATAATAATATCTAGGATGCTAGCAGCAACCCGTGTCAACCATCAGCGCCAGTCAATTTGAATGTTCAGTTGACTGAGGTTCACCTCTAATGAATAATAACAAATAATAATAATAATAATAATAATAATAATAATAATAATAATAGTAATAATACCTAGGATGCCAGCAGCAACCCGTGTCAACCATCAGCGCCAGTCAATTTGAATGTTCAGTTGACTGAGGTTCACCTCTAATGAATAATAATAATAATAATAATAATAATAATAATAATAATAATAGTAATAATACCTAGGATGCTAGCAGCAACCCATGTTAACCATCAGCGCCAGTCAATGTGAATGTCCAGTTGACTGAGGTTCACATCTAAATAATAATAATAATAATAATAATAATAATAATAATAATAATAATAATAATAGTAATAATACCTAGGATGCTAGCAGCAACCCGTGTCAACCATCAGCGCCAGTCAATTTGAATGTTCAGTTGACTGAGGTTCACATCTAAATAATAATAATAATAATAATAATAATAATAATAATAATAATAATAATAATAATAATAATATTAATAATATAATGCACCAGATTGTGAGTCGAATGGAAGATTAAATCATCATCATATCTCCCCTCCCCGGCAGAAAAATGAGTGAGGGTCCCCACCCTCCCGGCTCCCCTGCCCTGGACGCCCTCTCCAGCCACGTCCTGGAGGCCTTCACCTCCTTTGGCCTGGACCACAGCTGGACCGATAGCCACTACGTGGGGTTGCAGCTCCCCGACCGGTCAGTACGGCTGATACTGGGGGCTATGGGGGAGGGCTGGGGGGGAGCAGGGGCTGCTGAGCCTTTTAACTCCCCCCATCACCCCCTTTTTTCAGGAGGCATCCCAACTTCCTCTGGCGGGTGGACGCCAGCGGGGCTGTGACGGAGGAGCTGCAGCTGGAAGATCCAGATGTTTACTGCCCCTACAGTGCCTCTGGCACCGTCGTGGTAATGCCCGGGGCTCTGCTCTGGTTAAGTGAATTTTGCCCCATTTTACGACCTTTTTTTGCCAGGGTCGTTAAGTGTGAAAAACAGTCCCCAGTCCGTTTTTTTTTTCAGCGCCCTTCTAACTTTGAACGGTCCCTAAATGAATTGTTGTAAAGTCGAGGACTTACCTGTAGCTGCCCATCCCGGAGTGAAAAATATACAAAAGAGAGGTTAAGGTAGACTTCACCCAGGGCTGGAAGCTCTTCAGGAGAGGTCGCAAGAAAACCCTTAGTCCAGAAGGGCGCAGGAGGGTGCCTGGGGGGGGGGTTTGCCCCATCTCTTCCCTGGAGCGGGGAATTCTCCTGCCCCCCCATCCGAAGGGTCCCCCCCTTCCCCTCTGAGCCTCTTTCCCCCCCTCCCCATCCTCAGGGCGGCCTCGTCTTTGCCAACTACGGGCGCAAGGAGGACTTTGTGCTGCTGGAGCAGTTGGGGCTGAGTCCGCGGGGGCACCTGGTCATCGCCCGCGTTGGGAAAATCAGCTACGCCGAGAAGGTGAGCCGAGACACCCCCAACATCTGGCATCTCTGCCAGGTGACAGGGGACAGGTGGGGTTTCTGGACCCCGCAGGTGCAGCTGTGCAGACGGGGGGGGGAGGACAGGTGAGCTCTTTGCAATGGGGAGGGGGGGAATGTCCAAAGCAGCGTCCCTGTGGAAAGGGGAGACAGAGGGGGGGTCCGGTTGGGAAGAGGCTAGGGGGACTTTGAGAATTGGGGGGGTCATGAAAGGCGAAAGGTTGTTCCGAGCACTTCCTCCCCCCTCCCCAGGTGGCAAACGCAGAGGCTAACCAGGCGAAGGGGATCCTCATTTACCCGGACCCCCAGGACATCCTTCAAGACCCCCGTAAACTGGGCCTTTTCCCTAACATCAGCATTTATGGACACGTGAGTAGTTTTTTTGTGTGTGTGTGTGTGTGTCAGAAGCAGCAGGACAAGAAGCAACGGATGGAAACTCATCAAGGAGAGAAGCAACCTAGAACTAAGGAGAAACTTCCTGACAGTTACAATCATTAACCAGTGGAACTACTGGCCACCAGAAGTGGTGAATGTGCCAACACTGGGAGTTTTTAAGAAGAGACTGGACAGCCCTTTGTCTGAAATGGTGTTGGGTTTCCTGCCTGAGCAGGGGGTTGGACCAGATGACCTCCAAGGTCCCTTCCAACTTTATTATTACTATTACTATTACTATTACTATTACTATTATTACTGTTACTGTTACTGTTACTGTTACTGTTACTATTATTATTATGGATCATCGCACAGTCAGCCAGATGTTCAGACTGGATTTGGCATTTTGTCTTCCTATTGAGTCCTTCCCAAGGACCTGGGATAGGCAGATGTGGATGTTTGATGGTGTCACAGATCTCGTCGCAGGATGGAAGCAGTTCCTAGCAAGGCCGCCTTTTGCAATTGACTCATGGCGAAATGTCAATGAAAATGATGGTGTCCAAGTGGTGCTCCAGTTGTTTTGGGATTGCACCCAAGGCGCATGTTACTATTGGTACTACTTTTGCTTGCTTTTGCCCCAGTCTTTCTATTTCTATTTGTAGGTCTTTGTGTTTTGTGATCTTCTCCAGTTCTTTCTCGTCTATTCTGCTGTCTCCAGGCACTGCCACGTCCACTATCCAGACTTTTTTGTCTTTCTTATCGATGATTATTATTATTATTATTATTATTATTATTATTATTATTATTATTATTATTATTATTATTATTATTATTATTATTATTATTATTATCCAGTTTGCATTCTCCTACCTGCCAGGGCCGTCCTGATGCGTTGGGGGCCACTGAGCAGGCGGTGGCAGCAGAGAGCTCCTGCTGCAGCAGCTTGCTTCCACCCAGGTAGACTGCCTTGACCCACGGAGGTTCTGGATGGCTTTCCTAGCTCAGGGTGCCCCTTTTTTCTCCCCCCACCTTTGCAGGTTCATATGGGGGCTGGAGATCCTTACAGCCCCGGCTTCCCGTCCTTCAACCACACCCAGTTTCCCCCCATAAAATCCTCGGGGCTGCCGTCAATCCTGGCTCACCCCATCAGTGCCGCCATGGCCGCCCGCCTGCTCCGGTGTGTAACTGGGGATGAAGGGGGAGGTTGGGTCGAGCGGCGAGATGGATGGACCCAGCTAGGGCCGTGCCCGCCTTCCGACGTGGCATTCACACGTTCGTTTCTGATTCCCCTCCAGGCAGCTGAGCGGCCCCCCGGCCCCCCAGGCCTGGAGGGGCCGCCTTCCGCAGGTCCCCTACCTGCTCGGCCCCGGGGACCCCGACTTCCGCCTGCAGCTCGGGGTGCACAACGTCCGGCAGTCGGTCATGATTAACAACGTTTTCGGCTGCATCGAGGGCAAATTTGAACCCGGTACCAGGGGTGGCAAGGAAGAGAGAGAGACGGGGTCGCTGCAAAGGGAGACGGATCGGGGAATGTCTTGTGATCCTCTGCTTTGCATCTTTTGAATCTGCTAGATCACTACCTGATCGTGGGGGCCCAAAGGGACTCCCTGGGGCCCGGAGCTGCCCGGTCCGGGGTGGGCACGGCCATTTTGCTGGAACTGGCCCGGACCTTCGTTGCCATGGTGCAGAACGGTGAGCCGAGGATGGTGGCATGTGTGTGTGTGTGTGTGTTTGTGTGTGTGAGTCTGTCCCTTCCTAGGACCCCAGTGCAAACATTCCCTGAAACGCAGGGAGTCCTTGACTTACGACCGAGCCCAAAATTTCTGTTGCTAAGTGAGACCCTTAAGTGAGTTTTGCTCTGTTTTACGACCTTTCTTGCCACACTGGTGGCAAGTGAATCACGGTAGCTGTTAAGCGAGTCCCACGGTCGTTAAGTGGCTCCCTCCTCGACTTTGCTGGTCACAAGGTCGCAAAGGGGGATCCCGTAACACCGGGACACTGGTCGACCGTCGTAAGTATGAGTCCATTGCCCAAGCGTTTGAATTTTGATCGCGCGACGGCAAAGACGCTGCGGTGGTCGTAAGTGTGAAAAAAGTCCCTTTGAAGTTATTCAAAGGGTCACTAAACGAATTGTTGTAAGTTGAGGACTTGCCTGTAAAACGCGAGGGGGCTGCTTTCAAAGGGGTGGGCCTCACGGCCCCCTTCTGAACCACAGCAGCCCTTGGGGGGGGCCCTTTGGAGCTGCGGGGTGGGGGCTGTGGCGAGTTCGAGAGAAGCCGGCCAGGAGTGACGCAGATCCCCTGTCCTACACCGCAGGGTTCCAGCTGCGGAGGAGTCTGCTGTTCGTGAGCTGGGATGCCGGCGACTTCGGCAGCGTGGGGTCCACCGAGTGGTTGGAGGCAAGTGGGGCGTGCTTGTGGGGGGGGGGAAATGGTGGCAAAGAGGGGTGCGCTGGGAACCCCTCTTTTTTTAGGAATTTGGAAGACACAACATTAAAATTTGGTTTAATTCGGTTTTAAGGGGGGGATTGTATACATGTTTTGGTTTTAAATATGTTGTGCGCCGCCCTGAGTCCCGCTGGGAGAAGGGCGGCATATAAATTAAATAAAATAAATAAATAAATAAATAAATCCAATGTGCCCCCCCCAAACCCTCGCCACGTCCACGTCTGTCTCTCAACAGCCCACGAAACGGACCCCTTGATCAGGGGGCCTCAGGAATGGGGGCAAGGGGGCTGCTCCTCTGAGCTGCCCCACAGAGGGTCTCTGGACAGCGAAGACCCCCCATTTTGACCCCCCCTTTTTAAAAACCGCGTCTGGTCCCCGCAGGGCTACCTCACAATGCTCCACCTGAAGGCCGCTGCGTACATCAGTCTGGACAATGCGGTCCTGGGTGAGTGGGGAGGGGGAGGCGGGCGGCCCACCCCCTGCTGCCCAAGGGCGGGGGGGTGTCTGCGGAAAGGAAGACCCACCCCGCAGGCATCCGAGTCCGCTCATTGGGTGAAGACCCCAACTGCCGTTAAGAAAAAACCCAGAAAGACGCGGGTGGGAGAGCTGGAAAAAAGAAGCAGGAAGATTTGGCCATGAGGACTAGAACCTTGGCCCCGGGTGTCTCTTTGCAGGAGATGACAAATTGCTGGCCAAGAGCAGCCCTGCCCTGATCAGCCTCATCGAGACAGTCATTAAGCAGGTGGGGAAGCCCCGAGGGGACGGGCGGGGGGGGGGTGAGGAAAGAAGGGGAAGGGTCTTCACCCCCAGCCTCTCCCCCGCAGGTGGACAGCCCCAATCGCAGCGGCCAAAGCATCTTCGAGAAGATGACCAAGCAGGGCCGGCGCTGGGAAAATGAGGGGTAAGAAGGATTGACACCCCGACTTTAGACCCCCACACACACAAGCCCACCCCCTTGCTCCCCCTCCCATCAGGGCTGAGCTCCAGGAATTAGCCCTAAGGCTAAAAGTTGGACAATAATCAAAGGGGGAAAAATCAGTAGCTTATTCACGGTTGAGAAAAACGGGTTTTTATGGTCTCAAAAGCTCAAAATCTCTTGAAATGGCGTTTCTGGACCCCACCCCAATTTTCCCTGCCTCCCCCTGACCCTGGTGGGCTTCTCTCCCCCCGCAGCCTCCGGCCCCTCCCCATGGACAGCAGCGCCTTCGCCTTCACCTCCTTCGGGGGGGTCCCAGCTGTGGAGTTTTCCTTTGCAGAGGAGGTGAGACCCCCGGCCCCTTGCCCAAAATGGGGTGGGTGGGGGGAGGGGGATGACCCCGAGGACCCCTCCCCGCCCGTGCAAGACTGAAACACAGGGAGTCCTCAACTTACGGCCACAGCTGGGCCCAAAATGTCTGCTGCTAACCGGGACGGTCATTTTAAGTGAGTTTTGCCAAATTTGACGGCCGTTCCTGCCGCGGTCGTTAAATGAATCACTACAGCTGTTAAGTTGGTTAAGCGAATCTGGCTTCCCCCGTGGATTTGGCTAGTCAGGAGGTCGCCAAAGGGAATTGCGTGACTCCCCACCCGGGACGCGGCGACCGTCGTAAATATGAGTCAGCTGACAAGCACCCGAGCGTACGTCACGTGACCGTGGGGATACTGCAATGGCCATAAGGGTGAAAAACGGTCATAAGTCCCTTTTTTTTCAGTGCTGTTGTAACTTCCAACGGTCACTACTTCCAACACCGGAAGTCTTTAAGAAGAGACTGGACAGTCGTTTGTCTGAAATGGTATAGGGGGTTGGAGTAGATGACCTCCGAGGCCCCTTCCAACTTTATTATTATTATTATTATTATTATTATTATTAATTATTATTATTATTATTATTATTATTATTATTATAATATGGAATGGAAAGGAATGGAAGAACCGAACTGAACAGAACAGAACAGAACAGAACAGAATAGAATATAGAATATAGAATAGAATAAGAAATAATAATAGAATAGAATAGGAATAGAATAGAAATATAGAATAGAATAGAATAGAATAGAATAGAATAGAATAGAATAGAATAGAATAGAATAGAATAGAATAATAATAGAATAGAATAGGAATAGAATAGAAATACAGAATAGAATAGAAATACAGAATAGAATAGAATAGAATAGAATAGAATAGAATAGAATAGAATAGAAAGCTGGAAGGGACCTTGGAGGTCTTCTAGTCCAGCCCCCTGATCAAGCAGGAGGACCTATGCCATCTCTATTATTATTATTATTATTATTATTATTATTATTATTATTATTATTATTATTATTATTATTATTATATTGTTGTTGTTGTTGTTGTTGTTGTTATTATTATTATTATTATTATTATTATTATTATACTAAATGAACTGTTGTAAGTTGAGGATGAGCTGTCAATGGGCAGCGTTGGGTCTCCTGCCCAGAGCAGCGGTCAGCATCCTCCCCCCCCATTCTGGAGGGGAACCCGCTGAGTGGACCTGGACCCCCGGCCCTGTCTCCCTTTGGGGCTGTGGCCCCCCAGCCTTGCCGCTTTCGCCCTGTCCCCCCTCAGGACTCGCGCCCGTACCCCTTCCTCAACACCATGCTGGACACCTACGACCACCTCAACCGGGCTCTCCAGGGCCGCCTCCCCGCCGTGGCCAAGACGGTGGCCGAGGTGGTGGGCCACCTGCTGATCAAGCTGAACCACGACCACCTGCTGCCCCTGGACTACTGGTGCTACGGGGACGTGCTCCTGCAGGAGATCGCCCACTTCAACCAGTACAACACGCTCCTGAAGGTGGGGGGCCGGCCCCTCCCCCCTCCCTCCCCCCTCCCTCCCTCTCTGCAAAAGATGCGTGCTGCCCTCGCGTTGCTTTATTAGGCTCCATCTTCTATTATTTTTATAAATAACGCAAGGCGCTAAACATACCCAATGCAGACAATTCTCGACTTACAATCAAATGGAGCCTGCCCGTCACTGAAACAGAACTAGAACTCTCCGTCTCCTGGTGATTGGCCCAAAGTCACCCAGGCGGCTTTCATGCCTAAGGCGGGACTAGAACTCCCAGTCTCCTGGTGATTGGCCCAAAGTCACCCAGGCGGCTTTCATGCCTAAGGCGGGACTAGAACTC